ATGAAAACATTATTAATGTTGAAAAGTTTCTCTTTAATTCTTAAAATGTAAAGAAAATCAGAAATAACACATAAATCTTAATTTCAATTCAGTATTATTGTGAGATTTCTCAGGTGGTTTTCATATTAAAAATATCACACTTATGACACAGAAATTGTATAAAACATACATTTACTGAACCAATCATCTACTGAGCAACAAAATTTTGATTTAATATTAATTAAATTTACTGACAAACTACAGAAAGTAGAGAACTGATCGTATGCCCCGGTTTCTTGGTATTATTATCATACAACACAATGAGTCACAAAAAATTAGTAGGTAGTAGATCAATAGGTACTTACGATCTTCACCGTGTGGACCTGCAGAACATTGTGCTGGTGGATCTCTGCCCAGATCTTGTAATTCCTGAATATAAAACAATACCATGTGTACACAACAACATAGAAAACTGACTAATAAGACATGTCACATCATCACACGAAAAATGAGGGTTGAACATATTGTTTAAAGTAGCACTATAAATTCATAATCAACGTCGTTTCTGTGGCAATATCACGCCCTGCGCTCAAATTTTACACATTTTCATTACACAGATGCTTTTGATGACAAGAAAACCTCAAAATTGGCACATAATTCCGACATTTTATGTACGCCGTGTGCACAAAATTGTCACCTACATAATCCAGTCCACCGTTACCTCACAGTAGCTTCACTATAAAACAAGAGAGATAATCCATTTAGTGCTTTCCATAGAACTATCACGCACAGAGAATTATCCAGAAGAAATTTCGATAAAATAGGTATTCACAATGACGAAACATTCACTACGAAGTCTGATACCGATTTTCCAACACTTCATTTAATATGACTTCGATTTAACAAAATAAAGGATACCAAAAACTATACGTACCCTATTAATTCGTTTTAACGCCATTTGATTATTTTATGATGGAATAAACTGACTTTCAACTAGACAACGAAACTGTGAGCCAAGGACCTTTGATTAGAGATTGCAAGATGGCTCCCGTCTAAACGCAAAAGTACCACCTAGTCGTTTTATGTGGTAATATTGAATTTCTATTATGGAGGATCAAACTTTAAACGCTTAAATAAAAATAATAATAACTTATAATAAGAAAAAATAAGAACTAGAACAGAGCACGGGTTGTAACAAAATTATACACTCTCAGCAAATGGAGAACAGCAAACAGGAAAATCGACCATTTACAAAGACCGTTCTGAATTGCAGAATTTTTTAAAGTGCGAGTTACGTTTATGGTTGACTCATTTTTTTTGATATATATGTGTAATTAAGTACGTGACTATTTTTATTGATATTCCAAATCACAATTTTAACTATTTATTTTATTCATAGGTTTTTAAAGAAAGTGATTAATTGCAACAAGCATATTTTTTATTAAAAACCTAATGATTATTGATTTTAAAAGCTATATTTTGATCTGGTAGCCCTTAAATTTAAGGAAATGACGTCTCGTGGCACGAAGAATTCTCTGGGGCGCTATTTTTGGATTATTTGTAGATATTCATTACTGAAGTCGGCACGCAGCTATTTTAAAGCACATTTTTGCAATTTGAAACTTGCCCAGGTAAACTCATAGTTGTAATGAATAATGATATGGATCCAGCATACATTTTATAGAAGTAGAAATGGACCGCTATGTAGACTAAATAAATTTTAGCCATTAATTAAATCTGTACGTCCTAAATAACGGATTTGAGTTAATAAAATGGAATTTCATTTTTTTTGAAACCTTAATACAGTAGGCTAATACACTCACTAAATTATTAACATGCTTACTATTTTATAACATAGAAAAGATCTAATTACTGTTCGACCTGAAATAACTTTTATAAGCTTTAATACGTATAAAAGCTACATTTAGGTTATAAGAATCTAAAACAATATAGAAGGCCAATTCTGGTAATAAAAGTTCGGTCAAAATTCAGTTCCGATCAACGCTCGATCTCTTGATCTCTATCAGGTTTATTGTGGAACAAATTTTATTAGGATGCAGTCTAAATCGCATTTAAGAGTTACGAATATTCTTGGTATCAGCCTTAATTTTCATTTGAACTTACGTTGAGATAAATGCACTAGAAAACTACGGGACCTAAGTACTACAATCTACTCCGTATGAGATTTAACTTCGCAAAGTTTAAAGAAATCGTTTTAGGTCGCAAGAACTGCGTACTTATTATAACAGAAATCCTCTCAACAAGTTGTTATCATAGGACTGATGTTAAACATAGCACCATCATTAACGGACGTCAAGGAACTAAGCTGACGATGTCGACTTAGCAATAAAAGCCCATGTGTCTTGGCCTAATTTCTTGTAACTCCATCAACATAGAGAAAAGTCAACCCCATTCCCCACTCCAAAACATAATGAATGATCAAAGGGAGTTAGAATATGACTGTGTCAGACCATGACCATCGGCATGGATGGTCACAATTTTGCATAAATGTGTTAAACAAGTCCTCCAACGTGATTATGTCAAATCAGCATCTGTAAAATTATTTTAAAGTGGTGACATATGCACCACTTTAAAATAAAACAAAACAGGATCATTTGTAATGACTACATTTGTTTGGTATTTTTAAGAAAACTAATCATCAATCTAAAATGTAACAAATTTTAGGCTGGATTGAATGTTCACCTGTGAACAGCTACCTTGAACCATTTTGTTTTACCACTGGTGAATTAGCAGGTACGTGTACGTAGGCTTATGGAAGGTAAACATAATAAAAATATTTTTAAGGAGTAAGCTCTTCTCTCGCTTTCTACGAAGAAAAATCCATTAAGCAATACTCTCGGTATTGAAAACGGTAAAGGTTATAGTGAAGAAACGAATAGCGGGAGACAGGGATCGGCATCTCTACATTTTTTTAAAGTGGTGACATGTTCACTTGTGCATGTGCATATTTTTTATAGTTAAAATGGTGCCAGTAGTAAAACAAATCAATCAAACATTAATTTCGTAAAACAGGTGTTACAAATAAAATTTAACAAGGCCGCCATGTTTTACCTATTGGCAGATGAAACGATAAAAGTAAGACTGCACGGATGGCGTATTGGTTTAAGCGGTCGCCACGCCGTTTCCTACTACGCCGAGTGTTGTGGGTTCAAGCCCCACAATGTACGACACTTTGTGTGATCCACAAATTGTTGCTCTGAATCTGGGTGTTCTTTGTGTCCGTTTCATGTATGTTTGTAAAGTCCCCCGCGACACAGGATATATTCCTAATGCGGGAATTGTCTTTTAAAGAGAAAGAGAGAGATAAAGAGAAAATTATTTCAGTTAAATCCTTACTTAATTCAATAAAAACTTGATTTCTAACTACTTTGACTTCTACATTAAATAATATATTGATAAATGAGGATTAAAAGGGGAAAATGTAAAAAAAGTCTAATTAAAAATGTCAAAATAATTAATAATGAAAATATTAAAATAATTCATAACCATTTCACAATACCTTAGTATTAAAATGTCAAAAAATAAGTAATTTCGTTCCAAATGCCTAATTTATCTAACATAATATTATTATAACACTAGTTTAGGTACTTAAGTTCAGAAAATCTATTGTGGAGTAATATGCTATGTCAATAAGTGATTTTGAACTTTTGAATTCTTTATTATACTTTTAGTCTCTCATTTTGTTTGGTTTAATGATTTTACAGCTATGTTGCCACTGTGTAAACACTTTTATGTAGAAGTACAGTTCTAGCTTACAATAAGTGCAGTTTATCAGAGCGACGCGGGCGCGACGTTAACTTTCTATGGAACAAAATAGAGAAAGTTTATTTCTCACGAACCTACAGGCTTCATTAACGTACATAGATGGTAATGTCAATAGTATTAGTTACGAAAGTGTTCCTTGCATGTACAAAATGGTTAAAGGTAGCTGTTCACAGGAGAACATTCAATCCAGCCCAACAATCAGTTATATTATAGACAGATGATTAGTTCCTTGAAAATAAAAAACGAGTGGAACTATTATACATTTAAAAAAAAGATTTTATTAATTATACACCTAATCTTGACTTTAGATGCTAAGGGTTTTATTTATTTTCTAAAGTTTCTTAACCACCGTTGATGCTTAAAATTAAAACGTGATATGATTAATGCTACTCCCGAGGGTACGTCACGTACGTGGCCTGTATTTATTTGGCAAATTGGTACATTAATTTATGGTAACATTAAAATTTTATAGTTTTAACCGACTTCGAAAAGGAGGAGGTTATTCATTCTGATGTTTACATATACAAAAAATGACAGCAAATAAAGCGCGATTGCTGCTAGGTTTTTAGTGCCCTTTGTTAGTATTGTTTGAAGTCGGTTCAACTTTTTTAAAGGATTTTGTTATTATTATTACCGCTAATTTATTTTTATGAATGACGTAAAGGTACTAGAGGTGAGTCGAACTCTAAAAGGATTTTTATAGTTACGGTATAAAAAATGAAAAATATGTTGAAACATAACAGTTAATTTGTGATTAATCGTCAACTACAGTTTTTGTTTTATAAATTCTTTAGATAATGCAAGCATTGCAAAATTAAAACTAAACGTTCTATTATTAAAACATTCTTCAAACACAAATCTTGACTATGTTCTTACTGTCTTTCTCTTGAAGTCTTGACTACTGACTACTACTGAGGTAACAAAACGTTTGTTCAATGAACGTGTAGCATGAAAAACATACATTAGACGAGACAAGACAGTAAGTGACACAGACTGTCACGTCTGTCACAGAGTTCAGATGCATACACATTAGTTTGGTTGAAAATACCGGAGGGAGAGGGCGTGTTAGTGTAAATTTAAGTGCGTGTTTATTTGTATTGAAATTCAATGTGATATTTTGTATAAAAAGTTTTTTCTTAAGAACGATAGTCATTATAAAGATTCCTGTTTTGTTATAAGATGTTGGTTTTGTGTATCGGAATTTGAGTATTTTGTAATCAAATTTTTTAAAGAAAATGACTTTAACTATGACTACAAAACTTAGCGAATGCCAAGCAGAAACAGTGCAATTTGTGCCAATTGAAAAAGTAAGTTCAGTTGTATTCAAATATTTTTTAACATAGTTCATTTGATACTGAAATTCTCAATGTACATGTTATAAACAGATATTTGCGAGATTTTAAACCTAAAAAAAGATTAATTATAGTAAGTACTGAGGACTAGTTTATGACTGCTTATCAACAAATCGCCACTAAAGTAAAAAAATGATTGGTCCAAACCGGTTTCAATGCTATTATTGTGTTGTAAGTAATATTAATCTGACTTGAGGCATATATTTTTAGTTGCTTGTAAGTTTTTTTTTTATACAACAACACACATTCATAATGTTATTTAAATATGAAAGGTAACTTTAATAACTGAACCAGACATTTTCTAATAGTGTTAGTGACTTGTTGCTTTAGTGCATATTGATTAAAGTGCTGAGCCAGAAATTGTATTTCATTCCCACTAATCACAAATAATCTATAGAATGTGTTTATTTAGAAATATATAAGTATGTCTATCAGCAGTCTGGTTACCATAGCACAGGCACTACCTAGTCTGGGATCAAGTGGCTGTGCATGAGATGTGTTAGTTAAATTACCATTATTACTAAGAAAAACAAAGAAATTTAGAACAAAGATATTTCATTACAACAAGTTGCAATATGTAAGATTTACCTTAACATTAATAGCTTGACAAGTTAAATATTTACAATAAAAACATCTGATTGTGTATCCTTGTGTCATTGCCAACTTAATAATATCTGATAAAACTGACTGTAATTTTAATTTTTATATACCCAGTATCTCTATCATAATTAAGATGATGCTAACAACACCTTACAAGGAACCTAAACTCTGTAGTCTGAATGGCATAGCCATTTACTACACTACTACTAGCCAGGCTACAGAGTTTGCCAGAGAAATATACAGACATACAGTCAAAAAAGATAATGCACCGGTCAGGTAAAATAAGATGATCTATTCAACTAAATAAACTCAAATGAATAAGTAAGGGAAATGAACCTTATCTTTTTATATTTCATCAAATAGTTTATAAGGTCTGTTAAAATAACTTTTTGTTGTGTAGAATTCATAATGGTTAACCATCACATTAATTCTAGCAGAATAACATTTGTACCCCTGTTACTCCTCAGTAGGACAACTGTCTATCTTTCACAGAATTATCTAATTTGGTTTAGTTTTTTAAGAGGGTACAGAAAAAAAGAATTATTAAGCTTCCACATGTCGTTTTTGGATATTATTATTAGTATTATATAATATACTCTATATATACTAATATTATAAAGAGGTAAAATTTGTGAGTTTGTATGTTCAAGTTTCATCATGGTTTTGAAGTCTGTAATCTCTGGTACTGCTGATCCTATTTTGAAAATTCTTTTACTATTCAAAGGGTATGTTATCCTTGAGTGCTATAGACTACTTTCTACCAAAATACCGGCTTACACGCGAGCGATATAAAGCTAGTTTATTATATAAGTCTTAGTTCCCATGTCTTAGTTGTACAACCTTGTTTCAGGTAGATAATGAATGCAGAACTGAGAAAGTATGTGCAGGCACTTGCATGCTCCGGAGAGGCAAGAAACTGGAAGACAACAATAACCTGACCAAAGAAGAAGAGGAATATATAAATTATAGGAAATTGCTCAAATATGAAGAAGCACCAGATTATATTAAACATAATCCCTATATTAGAGATGGCTATAGGAAATTTTTACCAACCAGGCTGTGTTGGGAAAGGTGAATACTTTTTTATTATTTATTCTATTATCATTATCAACAGCCTCTATTAGACCACTGCTGAACATGGGCCTCTCCTTAGAAAGGAGGTTTTTATTCTATATTTTGTATTAATTCTATGAAGGCTAAGTAACGGCCCTGCTGCCTTTGACTAGGATGCCTAGAACTAATTCATTGTCTTAAAAAAGTAATTCCTTATTTTATAGTAACATGTACCTATTGGAAAAAAGGTTAGCAAACTTTCAATTTTTGTGGAATAATGTCTCACAATATTTTTAACCCAAACTATAAAAATTATAAAGGTAGTTTACAGATGACATACTTACATACATTCACCCTTTTGACCCAACATTGCTCCTCTAAATTATCATCATCACAGGATTCAAAACATTATGATGTAGTAGTAGATGTATAATGTTTACTGCCACCAAAATCTTTAAATACCATTTAAATCCTTGTCACATGCTTGATATAAATAATCCAGGAAGTATTTTCAAACACTTATATTTTGTAAAAGAGAACAATGCTGCTGAAGAATAAAGCATTAAAAATAATGAATATTCACATTATGGTTCTCTCTGGTTTATTTCAATTGTTTGATTTTTGAAACCAACATTTTGGTATAAATACATAATCAATTAATTAAAACAGTTAGTTACGAAAATCTGTTTGGATTGCTGTAAAAAAAAATTGTAGGTGTCATGTCAAATGTTAACGACCAGGTGACAACGGGTTCGATTTTCTCTCAATTCAAACATTTGTGTGCATGAACATTTAATGTTTGTAATTATTATTATTATTATATGAAACAATGTTATTAACTACTAGCTAGTAGTAAATAATTGCTAACAGCAACTGAGTAGCAAAAGTGTAGCAAAGTATATTTCAATTCCTTGCTCATCCCACCTGAACACTATATTTTTGCGGCATAAAAACAAATAGTCTATGTGGTAATTCAGGGTGTAAGCAACCTCCATACCGAATTTTATCATAATCGGTCCAGCCGTTTCGCTTTTGACAGGGACCCTTACCTTACCTCTTACCAAAACAACAATCTATACAAATAAATAAAATTGGAGTGTCTGTTTGTAATATTAAAATAACCGCTTTTTACTAAATGCATATGTATGCAATTTTTGTCTGTCTGTCTGTCTGTTTGTTCCGGGTAATCTCTGGAACGGCTGGACAATTTCGACGGGACTTTCACTGGCAGATAGCTGATGACATAAGGAGTAACTTAGACTACTTTTTTTAGACTAGTTATAACATCAAACGCGGGTAACACCGCGGGTCTCAGCTAGTACATAATATAAAACAAAAGAACAATGTTGAATTTCGAGGCAGCTGGACCCGACAAACGTTATTCTACCTATTCTTAATCAATTTGTTTGTAATCGTTTTAGTCTATAAAATATACTTTTAGTTTTGTCCAAATTTAATCATTTTTCGTAAACACTTTTAAATTTGCTATTTTTAAATTAAGAACCCAAGTTAGAAAATTCTGGTTAGCCATTTTTAAATGAAGTTACTTATAATCGAAAAATGGGAATTATTAAAAATAATTGTGTTTTTTTATGCTTCTTTAAACGTACTTAGTCTACTTTTTAACTTAATTATGAATGAATTATATATAATAGAGTAACATACATATATATAAAACAGGATTATTGCACATGCCGTGATTGTTCAATTTATTTTTCGCCTAATTTAGTATACTAAATAAGACAATTGTTAGAAATTAATAATTGATTACTACCTACTATTACATCAAGGTCATTAACTTATTCAACAAGGTTAGGGAAAAGATTATTATTATTATTTTATTTATTATTATTAAGATTATTGACTAAGTAGTACTTTAAATTGCGTTTGTAATATCAAAACGACATTAAACGATATGTAGTAAAATTGTAAATTGTCTACATAATTATATAATGTATGAGTAGCTAGTTTGGTTAGGTATAATGAAAAACCTTTAAATTTGATCGCAGTCGGACTACTCACGGCGAGTCCTTGCCCACAGTCAGACAACGACTCATTGTAACTCATTGTTGTGACTCATTGTAATAATTTTAAAATTAAAATGCATTTTGAGAATTTTACATTCAAAAGTGTTAATGACGATAAACAATATTTTAATGATCTTAGTCATTACACGGCGGTTGTTTCACATGAATCTGTTCGCAGGAATGCACCACAATTTTAAATCTTTTTTGGCTTTGTCGAAACGCATTTAAAACTTTAGTAATGTAAAACTAAAAGCTTTACTAAACTGTGATTATTTCACACTTACGAGCGAAACCTTATTTAAAAGCAAAGAATATCTCCACCATCCATTTCTTGGTTTCATCATCAGTTATCAATCACTTAATCTCAAACACGGAGTTTTTTAGAAGCTAGCGTAGAGATTGAGCTTTGCACTGCATTCTCTATCGTATATATCATGGAGAGTGCTCCGAGGAATTGTTCGGACTAATACCGGCCGCAACTTGCCGCTATCGTTCCACACGGCAAAATATTCATCCCCACCACTTGGATAATTGGCAGTCCACCACTGTGCGCTTTTCAAGACACTTTTTTGCCTCGCACTACCGACCTGTGGAACGAGTTATCGTTTGCGGTATTTCCGGACCGATTCGACCTTTAAAACATGGGCAGCGGTAGTCACTTTCCATCAGGTGACCCGTCTCCTTGTTTACGCCCTATTCCATAAAAAAAAGGTACTAAAGAGTTTCTTTAACCATCTTCTGGCTCCATCATCCGATTGTCTCCAAGATGCCAAATTATAGTATTATCATCCGAATGGAACCCGTTTTATTACAAGGATCGGATCACAATGTGTAATCTCTCTATAATTTTTTGTAGGCTTATGATATGTGAGTGTGCACACTCACAGATCATAAGCCTACTGCCGTCCATTGCTGAACAAAGGCTTCCCCTAGCGCCAACCATCCCGACTTTCGGCAATCCGCATCCATCCGCTATTTACTATTCGACAGGGCTAAGACTCTTAGTCTAAGAGTACCCGACATTGCACGGAGAAACAAGTCATGTCTCTGAGCCGACATGACGACATGACTAGAGTGGACACCACGATTAGTCAAACGTAGTGTAGGGCGCCCTGCCGCACGGTGGACTGACGACTTGAGGAAAATGGCTGGCAGCGGAGCCATGACATGAAAATAATAATTTGATTTTTTTTCTAATACTTTTAGATACGAACATACGAATATGAATACATCTTTATGGCTTAAAAGTATTTAACTAATGTTTGTTTTCTTACATTTTTAGTTCTGTTATTAATTTATTGTTTAAATTAAGCACTAAACAATTGAAGTACCTGTTTGTTATGTCAAAATTTTGCTTTACACTTAATGTATCCATGCATGCATGTTTCTATTTTATAAATAAATTTATGACATTTGTAAATTTTTATAAGTGTATTTGTTTGTTTCGGCTAATCTCCGAAACGATTGGACTTTCACTTGCGAATTGCTTCGAATACCGGGCAAAAATGTACTCGACTGCCGCAGCTATTGCTCACACACACACGCTACGCCAGAGATACAGCCAGTTACAAAACAAAAAGAAAGAATTAGTCTCATAGGTCCCACCGCTCAAAGGACGCGTATACCAACGAAATTTATATACATAATTTATCAGCTTTCGCTTGGCTTCTAGGTTATTATAGGCTTTGTTCACGTAATGTTAGGTTGTACTTTATAGGATGTCCTTTATGCTCCTATATGACCCCAGACAACGTGCATGCAAACTTTCATAAATATCGTTTGAGTAGTTAAGGCATGAAAGAGTAACAAGCAAACTCACTTATCAAATTGATTAGGATTTCAATTATCTTGCTTTCGTGCATCATATACCAATGTGTGTAGGTAAATGTTAGAATTTTATTAGAGAAAATTTTTTGGGCTTTACCTAATCTGCTAATCTAAATCTAGCCAGATTAAAAAAAAAATGTGTTGACTTGGACACGAACAATTTTGCTTAGAAACATTTATTAAAACTTACATTACCTTACATGTTTTGATTCTAAATATGTTGTGTTTTCGTAGACAATTGGTTGTGAAAAGTATCGTACCGTACCGAAACGTTTCAGGTACGTTTAAATTTCATACTTTTCAGGTATAGTCCATCTAATCTAAGAGGTACCTTAGATTAGATTAATTATAACTAGTTCAGTCGAGAGACAAACAGTATACGTTGCAGTCTATTTTCACTAACTACCAATTAATAATTTTCTTTTACTTGTGTTGTGACACCTTACTTCTCTCTAAATTTCATTATCATCATCATCAACAGCCTTTACCAGTCCACTGCTGGACATAGGCCTCTCCTTAGAAAGGAGGCCTGCTATACCACGCTGGCCAAACGGGTTGGTATAGGGTTTGTGTCAAGTTTTCCTCCTCTCTGCAGTGCTGTTGTCCTGCGTAGTTTTGCTCCCTTAATCGCCTCTTACGACATCCACGGGATGAATTGGGGTGGTGACACTCTGTATTCTTAGTCCGTCACCACTAAATTTCATGGTTCTAGGTAAATCGGAGGTACCCTCTAAGTTTTCATATACTTGCCTATTTGCTATTTGTTTGTAAGGTTGTTCTTTGAAGGGACTGGAGACACAAGTATGTAATGTTAATTTCAACTAAATACCTCAGGCAGATGGACAACAAAGTGATCCTATACCCTTGTAGTCCTGTTTTCTTTTAAAATACGAAACCCTAAAATGTCCTAATCACGAAAGATTTAAAGAATGGATAATAAGAAAACCTGCTGGAAAAAAAAACAGTAAAAAAAAGAGTAAAGAATTAGTCTTTACTCTTCAGGATCTGTAATACATGGACTAATAATGATACATGTTAATAGTTCTGTAACTTTCACTTCTATCGAAGTACTTTTAACTTAGGTACTAGTTACTAGTCAGTGGAAATTAGGCTGTAACTGTATAATTAAGTTTCATGTATTGCAATCTTGGTAATTTTTGCAACGATTGTCAGACACACATATGAATTGGTGTGTGGAAATGGAGAACTAAAATTACCTTTAGGTAAAGACCTGGATAAGTTGGTATTCTAAGTTAAATGTGCAGGCTAATAGGTTTAAGTTAATTTATTGCTATTTGACCAAAGCAATTCTTGGATTTATTTACTGATTTAAAATATAATCTCTCGGCAACTTACATATTCAATAGTCCTAACAGAACATAGTACTGCCAAGACTTTAAAACATTATTTGTGTTCAAAATTGTTGTCTGGAGTAGTACTTTACGATTTTGAGTGACAAAAGGAACTTTGCCTTGTTAGTTCTTATAAACTACAGCTTCAAATTAAAAGTAATTTGGAAATATACCTACTTACATTACACCTTCTTAGTCACTTTAACTTTATTACAAAAACAGCTTCTAACTTTATTCACAACGAAAAAACCTCATGTTAATCAATTTCGGCCATTACTTTATTTATTAAACGGCGCAATTCATAAAAACAACTGCAAAATTTATACTTGTTTCAGCATATTCTGGTGGACGAACGAGACTATGAATATATGGACGCACATATTCGGCTTCTTCTTGCTGTTGTTCCTCACAATCAACGACTTGGTGATCATAAACATCCACGCGACAGTGACAGATAAAGTTGTCGCGGGAATATTGTTTTCATGTTTCATGGTAAGTTACCTCAAAGCCTCAAAATCAGAAAGTTTTATAAACTTTCTTGTCATTAAATTCTTATAGTAAAATCTTCTAGTAGTTAAATGTGTGTGCGTGCTTTAGAAGATTGTTTGTATCTAGGGAGTTCAGCTCAGCTGTTACCTTTAATTCTGTTCATAGAAAGCTGCAGCAAAAAAAAACTTGAAAACTTTTAAAATGACATTTACGAGGGGTGATCAATAAGTAATGATAATCAATATGAAACAGAACAGAAGGTTGGTATAGGGTTTGTTTCAAGTTTTCCTTCTTTTTGCAGTGCTGTTGTTTTGCACAGTTTGCTCGTCTATTGAGAAACTTTTCTTATTTTTATTTGTTTTAGAACCATTCTGAAATACCGGTACAAAATAAAGGAATTGAATTTCTTTTGTATGCCCGAATGAACGCCCAAAGTTGGCATTGGCAGAGTATATCAAAGTAATTACGATCCAACCGTTTTTAAATTTGCTTATTTCATTTTTTATGGTTTGAATAATTTTGTAATTTCCTGATTAAAATGGATACTTAAATTATTAATAACATCTGTATAAGACGTATGTATGAACTAATAACAGCTATAAATAAATACGCTGCGATATTTTGTACGGCAAATTTGAACGCATACTTGTTCAGCAAAAGCTTGAACAGTAACTATTACTGACCAAAAAAGAGCTGTCTAGTTCTAACATTCATTTTATTGAAATTAGACGAGTACTACCTATTATTTTACTAAACAGCATTCGTAATATCCTCTAATCTAATAGCTCACATTAATTCATCCATACTTCTATACCTACTTCCATACTTATATTAGTAATGAAAGTAATTTTGTTTGTTTGTTACGCTTTCACGCTTAAACCACTAAACCAGTTTAAAAAACATGGCTACTTTTTACCGCGATATCGGACATACACGTGGTGGAGCCGCGGGCAAAAGTTAGTAGTGAATAAAATAATGTTTTTGAATAACGTCATTAATATTTGATATGCGACTTTGTGTTTGCTTATCAGATTGTGAATAAAAATACATTCCCACCGTTTTCGTCCATAAACAATGAGGTTTCTCAATGCACAAATAAGGTTAGTGACTCTAGGTTTTCATGAATATGAATTATAACACCTATGCGCTATATGTGTGTTGGTTATTAACTTATAACGTGAATGACATTCACTGTATTTAAAAAAAAGCACAATGACAGGCTTGCCTGAGCGCTCACGCCCTAGAAAGAGTTTATACCCGCCTGGCCGGTCTTTTGACTTTTATTATTATTATAGCACTTTTGGGTGTTACAGTAAAAAAAAAAAGTTTTTCCAATTTAAGTGGCCATCTTTGTTTTCAGTCCTCGTCATGCAACTAAACAGGACTTGTTGATAAAAAAATGTTTCATCACGCTTGATGTGATTAATGTCCCTTTTTTTTTAAGAACAATTAAAAATAGTGTTTGTTTTGGGACTAAGGTATTAAGATTGTTAGTACTTTCTTTATTTCACATTTTTTTGTTTTTGTAAAAATAAAACTACTAGAAAATAGGACTAACAGTTAAGTGTTTCTTTTATTGTCAAGTTTTTTAACCAAAACTCGTAAAATATACTTACGTATATTCCGCTTTATAGTAAATGTAGTTTGAGAAAAAACATTTTTTTTCATAATGTTTTTACTTTATTAGAGAATAAAATAAAATAATTCAAAAAGTTTGAGTAACAGTGGGTTTGTTTAATCCAACAATCTAAATGGACTTATACCGCGACACAAAAAATCTATTTACGTCAGTTGTATAGTTTGTTGCCCCATCCATCTTCAATCTGCGTGTCCGTTCAACGCGTTGTCTATCTCCATACCACCTCCATCACGTGATGTAGTTATTACAAAATAAATGAACTACACCATTGGTCCGACGTCTTGAAAGTTTACGGCTCAGAAGTTCGACCTGCTTTTCTCCCGTTAGTGAAAGTACGAAATGATTAAAAAAACATATCATTAGCGACGAACTGCAAGTCAGCTCGACGTTGCTAACTTACGGACGGGGTCAATGGAAAGGCACTACATATACACAATATATTTTAATTCTCTTTAGATGTGTATTCTTAGATGTGTTGCCTGTAACAAAAATTAAAAAGAGATTGGATTAAATTTATTCAGAAATATTATCTATTGATTTGTTACTTCGCGTGAAAGTTTGAGACTTGTAGTGCTCTTTAGAAGTAATACAATGTTATCTAGACAATGAATGAAAGTAAAGTAAAGAAATAAAAAAAAAATGAATTTACTTTTTGCATTATAGGCGTACGTATTGAAAAGGGACATAATTGGGGTAAGATAACATTATGTAGTTAAAAGATTATACATTAAAAAGATTTATGACGCACGATACAATCTTTGAAACGGTAGAGACCCTATCGTTTCGATATTGGAAGACGCTCGTTGTCTTTTAAAACTGTATGGAGCATGGATGGATGATGGTTTCTTTAAGTGTCAACTGTTACGTATCGGACAGGATTGTCGTGAGAAGGTCGCTAGGAGAAAATCGCTATTTTATAGAACGTGTAGATTGTGCTCACTAGAACAGGAATACGTCATCAAAGACGAAAGTTTCATAGAATTGTGTTGATCACTCGAACTACGCGAGTTCTGTTCTGAACGGATTGATTATTCAAATTCAGTTCAAAAGGTTTGTTAGATCAAACTTTGATATTTGTAGATCTTTTAACTATTTATTTAATATAAGAGTTTTTCTCACGTCTTAGCAGCGTTTTCATTATTAGGAACATATTCTAGGAATTATCGCCAGTAGTACTTGACTTGAGTACTTGACAATTTGTAGGGTCAATGGAACTTTGTTCTAAATCTAAAGATTGTCCATACACAATTAACGTGTTTGAATATGCTTCTAGCTTTAAATTTAACGGTTAAAGATATCGATGAGTTTTATGTAATTAATTGGCTGCACAAATGGCGTAGTGGTTTAAGGCGGTCACCTCGCTGCCTGCCTAAAGCGCTGAGTGTTGTGGGTTCGATCCCCGCATGAGACAGCACTTTGTGTGATCCACAATTTGTTGTTCTGAGTCTGGATGTTCTTTGTGTCCGGATGTTCTTTGTGTCCGTTTCATGTGTGTTTGTATAGTCCCCCGCGACACAGGATTTATTCCTAGTGGGGGAGTCTTTAAAAAAATAATGTATGTTACATAGTAGGGTGATCAGTAGGTACTTATTGTTACTTAATAGGTAACGTTAATATTTTGACGGGGTCGTCTTTTGGCTTAATAGAAGTAAAAAAACAACAGTAATAATATTTTAATGTGAAAGATATGAGAGTAATTTTCACATATAGTTAATTTTATGCAAGTAGAGAATGTCCCAACGTTGAATTGTCAGTCATCTAACCACTTGTACAATGCTTTCACTCTCAATGAGATATTCCAAGTATTCATGTATATTCATGTATACATATGTATGTATACATGTATAACAATGTTCACAACGACATAAATGAATTTTGTTATAACTTATGCATCAATGTTTGATTTCTTTCTTTTTCTTCATATGGCGAAAGTTGTAAGTAATACAATAATTTTTATATTGTATTAGATCCAATGTAATGAGAGGTTTTGAGCACGACCGTTAGTTTTCTATTCAGAGTACTTTTTTTTATCGAGCCCGAGTTAGATGACAGCTGCCCAGTGTAGTTTATATAGGTTCTATACTATACAACCATTGAGACCGACAGAATTTACAGGCACAATTTAAATTCTGTCGGTTCAATTTAAATTCTTAATTGTTGTATCATCAGATCTTGGGTCCAATGCATCTAGTAGTATGTAACTCTCCAGTTTGTCCTTCAAGTTGCCAAAAAGTTTCTCTATTTAGATTTTTGAGTTTGTATTATGTGATAACATTTCTGTGGCCTTATTACGGGACAATTAAGTTTAGATGTTTTTGTGTCCCGTTAAAGGTCAAATGAACTTTGTTTCAACTTTTGTCGTGACCCGTATAAGAAGTTCTTCTTATTTCATACATTGTATTACATTTTTAGTGAAAGAGAGCCCATGTTTTTTTTAAAATATGATTTTAACGACAAAAGAAACCAAATTTCGGTTCGCGGTCTCCATATGTTTGCTATTACTATTATATTCCATATGTCTACAAACTTGTGAAAGTTGCACTTTTTACCGTGATCACGCTAGCTGGAAGTCCAGCTCTCTAATTCTTAGTCCCCAACTAAGAATTGGAGTATACTAGATTTATCTATATCTCGAATTAGTTATTAGGTAGTTCTACCAAAAGCGTAAAAGAAAGAAATCCATATACCTCATTTCTTAAACTGGCAGCGCTCCCACACAAATAAAACGGGTTATATTGAGGTATGTGTAATAAGACAACTCTTTCGCTATTTAAGCGTTGGCTCAAGCGAAGAAGCAACAACACGCAATATACGTACCTATAGTAACAAAGGTATTACTGAATGAACTTTCACTTATCTCTCATACAAAGAGCTGAATTTACTGGACCCGAAAAAGGTGATTATTTCTTTCTTTCTCATTCACTTTTCCTTCTCTGTGTAAGTACTGTGTGCTTTTCTAGATAATCTATCTCTGTGCCAAATGTAATCCAGATCGGTGCAACCGTTCAGGAGTGATTGAAAAATAAATATCTGTATATAAACATCTTCACAAACTAACTATACTTTTTGCAGTTAAATCTTAACAAGCATGTGGTAGTTATGATGAAAACGAAAACGTCATACTCAAAAACTCCTCTGAATAAAATGGAGTTAAACCTAACAGTAACGCAGATTGCATTGCTGGCAAAGATCACGATATTGTATGTTTTAAGTTCAACATAAAATACAAAAAAAATGTTATTTAATTTATATTGGCTTTTTTAGACATTAATGACGATTATTTTCTCATTAAGACTAAAAAGTAACATGCCTCTTAGGACGTAGCAAAAGACACTACCGTATTTTTTGGATATGGAAAAAGCCG